ATGCCCCTCTCGTTCAGCGCTCACTTCGTCTTCAACATAGTGTTGGAAGTTCTGGTTCCAGGGCAATCGGCAGGGGAGAAAGAAACAAAAGGGTATTCAATTTAGGAAAGGAGGAAAGTCGAATTGTCCCTGCGTTTTGGCAGATGACGCGATGATTGGTATATTTAGAAAAGATCCGTTGTCTCATTTTTTCCCAAAAGGTCTCGCTTAAGCTGATAAGGCAACTGCGCAAAGGAGTCTTCAGGTACAAAATCAAAGTGCAAAATCACAAGGCATTGCTTATACCCAATACAGACAAACAGAGATCCAAATCATGGAGTGACTCCATTTCACATTGCTTCAAAGAGGATAAAATACCTGGAAACTCCAACTTACAAGGGATTGTGAAGGACCTCTTCAAGGAGAACTACAACCACTGCTCAACAAATAAAAGGAGGACACAACCAATGGAAGGAAATTTCCATGCTCATGGATTAGGAAGAATCAATATCGTGAAAATGGAACCGTTAGCTGCCCCAGGTAATTTATGGGATTCATTGCATCCCCATCAAGCTACCAATGACTTTCTTCAACAGAAACTGGAAAAACTACTTGAAAGTTGATACAGAAGCCAAAAAAGGCCCTGCATTGCCAGAGTAAATCTAGGCCAAAAGAACAAAAAAGTGGAGGGCATCACACTTACCTGACTTCAAACGACATTATTAAAAATTGCTACAGTAAGCAAAACAGCGATGCGTACTGGGCTACAAAACAGAGATGTAGACCAATGGCAAACAGAACAGAGCCCTCAGAAAATAGCTACCGACACATCTACAACCATCTGATCTTTGGACAAACCTGACAAAACAAGCAATTGGGAAAGGGATGCCCCATTTTAATAAAATGTGCTGTGAAAACTGGCTGGTCCAGTATGTAGAAAGCTGGAAACTGGATTTCCCTTCCTTACACCTCTATTACAAAAAATTAATTCAGGATGGATAAAGACTTAAATGTTAGACCTTAAAACATAAAAACCCTAGAAGAAAAACTTAGGCAATACCATTCAGACATAGGCGATGGGCAAGCAACTTCACATCAAACACAAAAGATGGCAACAAAGCCAAAATTGAAAATGCGGATCTATTAACTAAAAAGAGTTTCTGCCAGGCAAAGAAGCTACCATCAGAGTGAACAGGCCAAATCCTACAGGAATGGGCAGAAAATTTTGCCATCGTACTTCAACTGCATTAAAGGGCCAATATCCGGACATCTACAAATACTCAAACAATTTTATTACGGAAAAAAAACAAACCCATCCAAAAAGTGAGCAAAGGCATATGAACAGATATTTCTCAAAAGGAAGACATTTTATGGCAGCCAACAGGAACACATGATAAAAGTGCTCATCATCACTTGGTCATCAGCAGAATGCAAATCAAAGTCACAATGGAGAAACCATCGTCACACAGTTTAGAATCGCTATCATTTAAAAAGTCACGGAAACACAGTTTGGCTGGGAGAGGATGTGGAGAAATACGGGAACACTTTTACCACTGTTGGTGGACTGGTAAAATTAGTTCACCATTGTGGAAGATAAGGTGGTGGCGATTCCATCAAGGATCTAGAACTAGAAAATACCATTTGGACCCAGCCATTTCCCCATTACTGGGTATATTACCCAAAGGATTATAAATTCAGGCTGCTATAAAGACACATGACACGAATGTTTATTGTGGACACTATTCCAATAGCAAAGACTTGGGAACCACCCAAAATGTCCAATTCAGGACCCTCAGTTGCAAGTCTGTTGGAGTTTGCTGGAGGTCCACTCCAGACCCTGTTTGCCTGGGTATCAGCAGCGGAGGCTGCAGAACAGCAAATATTGCTGAACAGCAAATGTTGCTGCCCTATCATTCCTCTGGAAGCTTCATCTCAGAGGGGTACCCACCTGTGGGAGGTGTCAGTCTGCCCCTACTTAGGGTTGCCTCCCAGTTAGGCTACTCAGGGGTCAGGGACCCACTTGAGGAGGCAGTCTGTCCGTTCTCAGATCTCAAACTCCATGCTGGGAGAGCCACTACTCTCTTCAAAGCTGTGAGACAGGGACATTTAAATCTGCAGAGGTTTCTCCTGCCTTTTGTTTGGTTATCCCCTGTCCCCAGAGGTGGAGTCTACACAGGCAGGTGGGCCTCCTTTAGCTGCAGTGGGCTCCACCCAGTTCGAGCTTCCAGGCACTTTGTTTACCTACTCAAGCTTCAGCAATGGTGGGCGCCCCTCCCCCAGCCTTGCTGCCACCTTGCAGTTTGATCTCAGACTGCTGTTCTAACAATGAGCAAGACTCCGTGGGCGTAAGACCCTCTGAGCCAGGCACGGGATATAATCTCCTGGTGTGCCGTTTGCTAAGATCATTGGAAAAGCACAGTATTCGGGTGGGAGTGACCCAATTTTCCGGGTGCAATCTGTCACAGCTTTCCTTGGCTAGGAAAGGGAATTCCCTGACCCCTTGTGCTTCCCGGGTGAGACGATGCCTCGCACTGCTTCGGCTCACGCTTGATGGGCTGCACCCACTGTCCAGCACCCACTGTCGGACAAGGCCCCATGAGATGAACCCAGTACCTCAGTTGGAAATGCAGAAATCACCCGTCTTCTGCGTCACTCACACTGGGAGCTGTAGACTGGAGCTGTTTCTATTCGGCCATCTTGGAACCGAAAAACAAAATAAGGTAGTTTATTTTTTAAACGGTGTAGTCAGGAAACGTGACTTTCAAAGAGAGACACCATTTTGGACTAGAGTTATTTGGGAGAGCATCTTGGTTGATTGAATTCTGAGCTGGGTTCAGGGAATTTAGATAGAAAGAAAGGTGGAAAAGTGTTTTAGGCAGGTAATCTGACAGGAATGAGGCTAAATCAAACAATTTATCATTGTGGAATATTTTTAAAATGGACTCTTGTAAAAATGGTTGTTGTTCTCACAGTCTGCTGTTATTTTGTCTGTTTGTAAATGGGTGGCCACACAGCTGGCCCTGAATCAGTTCTGCCTGACTTTTCCCCCACAGCACTCTGATAGTAAAGGAAAATGAATGCCTCACCCAAGAACTTTGGAGATATAGGTTAAAGCATCCCTGAAAACACAATATTTTCTATCTTATTTTATCTTAAACTTCCTGCATTATTTATTTGTCTTTTGCTCCCTTATAAATGTGTTTGTGTTAATGTTGAAATAATACAATTTTTATTTGAACAATTGGAGTAACATTAGAAAAATATATTCTCTAGGAAACCATGCCATTTTCATCTTATGATTTTTATATCCCATTGGTACATTAGCATTAACCATGTATCCCCCAGTGTATACAAATGCCCATCTGAGAAGAATCAGGACAGACATTAAAGCTTCAAAAAGTAAAATATCAATCCTGAATTTCAAAAAAGCATTGCATATTTTATTTGTTTTCATAAACAGTAATGACAGATAAGCTAGAAGCAAAGCGACTAGGAAGACAGATAATAAACAGGGCATTGCAAATTCATTTCTATTATAGGAGAAAATAGGACATAATCTGTAATTTTTTATTTAGAAAAGTTTGAATTGCTTCTACTTATATTGGTTAACTATAAAATACCTTTTTCCACTTCCTTTCCTTTTCTTGTGGCCCCTTCCACTGTCCTCTGTTGAATTTAGGATTTCTGATGTGTGTAGGTGTAACATGCCAGGTTTAGATTAATGCGCATGTATATGAGAAAGAGGTGGGACATAAAGAAACGAAATTTAGTAATGACTGGTGCTTTTGCTTCTGCTTTCCTCAGGACTGGCCTAATTCTGTTCTAGGGCATACGGTGATCTTGTTCCTGAAAATGCCCCCGAAAACCTATGGGTAGGACATTTTAGGATTCTTGGGCATAGCCAAAGGAAGCCAGAGCCAAATAAATGGCTCTGGATGTTAAAGAAAAATGGAGTTTTGTATTTGCAAGAAGCCTGAGAGTCTAAATGCCTGTATTTACTGCATACCTCGAGAATGCAGTAAAGATTTGAACAAAAGAGGGGAGTATCCACTGAGAGGGAGAGGCCTGGGAAGAGGGTGGAAAGCCCAGGTTAAAAGGGGAACTAGCCAGTGAGAAATTTCTCATAGTATGATATAGTTCAGGGGTTAGCAAAGTCTTCCACTAAAGGGCCAGACAGTAAATACTTTTGGCTTTTGGGGTCTCTGTGGCAACTACTCAGCTCTGCTGTTGTAGTATAAAAGGGAGCCAGAGACAGTAGACAAACGAATGTGTGTGGCTGTGCCCCAGTAAAACTTTATTTACAAAAATAAGTGGCCAGCTGGATTTGGCTCACAGGTGGTAGTTTTCGGGTCCCTGGTGCGCTAGTTATTTTTTAGTCCAGTGATTTCTAATATTGATGTATACCACTTTCGATTATGGTATAATTTCCCTTTTCACCCCAAATCTTCAGCAATATGTACTACACAACAGCTTGCAGTAAGCCTGCTTTGAATAGGCAGAATGAAAGGTTAGGCATTTAATAAGCCCAAGGGAGTGAGGACCAAAAGAAGGGGCAGTCAAAGAGGCCAAATGAAGTAGAGAATTCAGTGGAAGTCAGAAATCAAGGGGGTTGGAGGCTGGGGAGGTAAAGTGAAAGTCTCCAGAGGACATTAAAGTGACTCTGTGCATTTAAGGGAACCTGGAAGACTTGGGGGTACAAACAAGCAGCAAATGCTTGGGTTCCACAAGAAAAAGAAAAGCATACTACTTCTCAAAGTTTCATAGCATAAATCCAGGAAATTACAGGAATGCTTTGAAAGAGTAGCGACTGTCACTGCACTGACTTAGAGTGATCACCCCAAATCAGTGGAAATGACAATAATCATCCTATAAAAAAATAAAGAAGTTTCCAGCTCCTGAAGTACTTTCTAACTTCTTTGGTATCAATAACCTTCCTAGTACAATATCATGTTCAAGTACTGTTTCCATTTTTGATATTTGAGTTGTTGAAAACATTTTGAATTCAGTATGTATATAGGTACCTGCTATTTTCTTCATTTGTTTGCAGAGTTTGGGGATGAACGCTGCTGCCTCCTGGAGAATGTATATGGATAGCCACTTCTTTAGGTTTTTCATGTGCATTATTGCTAATTGGCAGAGTAAAAAAAATAGAAAAACTGTCTTAATCGTTTAAGTATCTGTTTTGAAAGAAATTAGTAATTTGCATTTGGAAATTTAAGGTATCATTTGCCTTAAGTTCCTCATGTCTTCGCAAGATATCTGAAAGGAAAATCATAACCAAATCTCATCTTTTAATACTAAGCAAAAACTTAGATTAGAAAATAATACTAAAATCATCCTATATTTTGTGTCAGAATACTCTAAATTGTTTATAGGCAGATGTCCATGCCTTAATGCATTTCACTATTTCTGACATAATTTTGATTAGTAAATAGGGTTTTACATCAAGATTTTGACACTTAAGCTGCACAACATGAATGACTTTGCACTGCAATGTTACCCGAGGCTTCCTTTTTCTCCTATAGTGAAGATATATGTTCTGTTTTCTGTACAAGCAATACCCACAGTTAGGGGAGCAACAGTAGCTGTCATGAAGGTATTTAAGAACTGACAGTAAAAAGTAATATTTACTCACTTTTGAATATCAGTAATAACAATCATGTGTAAATAATAGCTAACATTTTCTGACATGCATCATAAGTGAGGCACTATGTTAAATAAGGTAGGAACTATTATTATCTCCATTTCACAGGCAAGGACAATGAAATTTACTGAGGATAAGTATCTTGCTCAGGGTCTCATAGAGCGTAAGTGACTGAACACAGGCCTTAGCAGTTGCAAATCCCTCGTCCTCACTTGGTATGGTACCCTGCCTCTTTGGGGGTTAATAAACACTTCATCTTTTATCAGTGAAATGATGAAACAGTACCAGTACCTGGAAATGTTATGTATGCATTGGTATTAGGGATTTAAGAATGGAAACTTGAAGAGTTAACTCACTTCAACACATACTACTATTTCCTCATCACTCAGTTACTCTTTACCCTCTTATGGAAATTAGAATGACAGCATCATTTGAGAAAAAGAGGCAGACTGCTTCAGGGGACAGAGTTTTCATAGGATAGGGAAGGCACACTTGAGATCCACGGGTGAGGAAGAGTGGAGGGGTATGTAGCCAGGTGGTGTGACCTTCCAACGAGTGGTGATTAAGCAGTAAGATGAGTAATGTTCTGAAAGTGGTCTTGGGTGATGAGTGGTACGTGGGGTTTTGCAGAATATGATCTTGGTGAGTATATGTTGAATGAAGAGCTATCTGGTTAGTTACTGGTGGTTAATGTGAACAGAGGAAAATTCAGGGAGCCTTCACAGAGGATGGCCTTAAGTAGTTTATCATTCTAAGCATCACAACAATGGGAACTTTGAAATTTTGACTGCGGACAAGGCTGTTTTGTGTAGAAATGGGAGTGGGTACGAGGCAGTAACAAGAGGCAATAATGGGCTCTGAATGAAGAAGTCTACCCAGTATTATTCCTCAGTGATCAATGCATGACCTATCTTATTTGATGTTATCACAAATTATTGTTGTAAATACAAAATGAAATATCAATATGTGCAGGCAGCATATTTTTAACTAGTGAAATATCAAGGCAGTAAGATTAAATCACCGGAAGAACTTGCCAAGTCTATGTGAAAGGCCAGGAAATCTCAATACGGAAAGATGCCCTTAAAGAAATACCTTAATGTTTCATAGCCAAATAACTCAGAATATAGAGTAACAAAAAGGAGAGATTGCATACTGCTCTCTAGAAAGATACTGGTTCAATATACCAGAGTAGCTAAAACAAATTCAGTAAAATATAGGGAGAAAAAGAATATTGAAAGAAAAAAGGAAAATACTTTAGGTTTGTACTATATACAGTTCTGGATACTGAATTTCAGTAATATAGAGTCAGATTCAGAAATGGAAACTAACGTTGTCAAAATACTAGCACAAAGATTTCGAGTTAAATAATCCAGACTAAAGGCCTAATTCCTAACAACTTCCTACTGCTTTTAAACAAGCCACTGAATTTCTTTGAACCTAAAGTGTTTATGCTTTGGGATAACAATACGATTGGGCCTACGTACCTCACAGAGTTGTTTTGAGGACCAAAGAAGATAATAAATGGTAAATAAATCTATGAATAAACATGTTAACTGTTTTTGTAAATACATTAACCGTTGCTACTCTTATTAATCTTGACTGCTGTACAAGTAGAGATTAAAAAATCATTTAAAAAAATTGTTTTGGGTGGGTATAGGTGGTCCCTGCTCACAGGGGCTCACAGTCCAGGGAGCAGGGATGGTGAGGAGTATAGTGGAGACCAAGAAGTCAAGAGATAGTGGTAATAGAGAGTGGAAAGGCCAAGGTGGAGGGCGCAGAGGAAATGGTATTCTTAATCAGAGAAAGAGTAATCAGGTATTCTTAATCAGAGAAGGCTGAGGATTGAGAAGGCACATGAAATCAACAAGTAGTGATATCGTTTAAGCAGATGTGCTTACTAAATTCAGTGTTGGTACAATGGACTGAATGTATCCTTCCAAATTTATATGTTGAAAATTTATAGGATCTAATTACTACAGGATCTCAAAGGTAGGACCTTTGAGAAGTAATTAGATCCTGAGAGCAGAGCCCTTGTGAATGGGACTAGTGCCTTTAGAAAAGAGACCAGGAGAGCTCCTTCACTCCTTTTCCCTGATGTGAGGATTGAAGTCTTTTAGCTAGAAAGCGAGCCTCACCAGACACTGAATGTGCAGTTGCCTTGATCTTGGACTCTCTATCCACCAGAACTATGAAAAATTAATGCTTGGTTTTTAGAAATGAAATAATGATTTTTAGGAACAGGGTCTTGCCATATTGCCCAGGCTGGCCTTAAACTCATGGGCTCAAGCAGCACCCCTGCCTCAGCCTCCCAAGTAGCTGGGACTATAGGTGGGAACCACTGCACCCAGCTTAAATGCTTATTGAATCCACCCAGTCTATATAAGGTTTTGGTATAGCTGTCCAACTATATATACCAACAGACTGAGACAGTTGGTATATTAGAACAAGGGGCAGCCTTGAAACCTGGAGTAAGTTTAAAACAAGTTAAAGATGCACCATTTAACTTGGTAGAGAATTAGGGCAGAAATTTCCCCTCGTGGTAACACTTTTAGTGGTGTTTAGCTCACTCATTCATTTGATAAATATTTATTGAGACTCTTTTTGTTCCAGGGACAGTTTAGATTTGTTATGTATCCATTGGTGAAGATAGGACAAAAATTCTTGACTTCATTGAGGGAGAGAGAGAATAAACATGGGATGTAATTATTTAATTAACTATAATAAAAGAGGATAAATCTATAAAAAAATAAAGCAGGATAAGAGAGATTGGGAATGTGGGGGTGGGATCATATCACCTTTACTAGGATAGTTAAAGCAGGCCTCCTTGAGGAGCATTTTAAAGAAGGTGAGATCATTTCTGTGTGTGTATTCCTTCTATTTCTGTCTCATTTTAGTTTCTTTTCTTGTTTTTTTTTTGTTTGTTTGTTTTTCTTTTTTTTTTTTTCTCAGATGGAGTTTTGCCTTTGCTGCCCAGGCTGGGGTACAGTGGCACGATCTTAGCTCACTGCAACCTCCAGCACCTGGGTTCAAGTGATTCTCCTGCCTCAGCCTCCTGAGTAGCTGGGACTACGGGCATGTGCCACTACACCAGGCTAATTTTTGTATTTTTAGTACAGACAGGGTTTTGCCATCTTGGCCAGGCTAATCTCAAACTCCTGACCTCAGGTGATCCACCCGCCTCAGCCTCCCAAAGTGCAGGGATTACAGGCCTGAGCCACCGCGCCCAGTCTCATTTTAGTTTCTTGCTAAGTCTTTAGACTGCTCATGCAGCTTCTGAATTGTCTCCAGTGTTTAAGATAGACGTCAACCTGAATCTCTCCAGGCATGGTGTGATAGTGGCTCTCCCGTAAAGCAGGCCATCTTGTTCTACACTATTCTATCTCTGTCAGTCTTTTTCAGCTCCAGGATAAACAGCTCTTCTGACTTGAGGACCACTACGATACTCTCCACTCATATTATGCGTTTCCCACATGGTTTCCTTCTTCTTTGCCATGAGGACCTTTATGCCCTTGTGTTTCTGTGAGGAAAGCTTGAGCTCCAGATAAGGAATAATCAGCCCTCCTCACGTAGCCACAACGACTTAGCTATTGGCCACACCCACTCAAGGAAGTATGACTGCATGATTAATCAGCCCAACTCTTTCCAAGAGAAGGGACCTCTGCCTTCTGATTATTTAAGTTTATGACTTTCTCTTCCCAATTTTAGCTATGTGTTATTTCTAACATGAAAATCAATGGTGTTTTGTTAGGGAAATGCACTCACTATCCTGAAACCACCTTTGCAAAGATTATGAGAGTGAAAGAAATCTAACACGGCTGACTTCATCTTGCTTCTAGCCTTACAGGTGGGCTGGCTTTGCTCATTCCTGGGTGTAGGCCAAGCTAACCATGAAAGGAATTTAGTTTATAATTTAACTTTGGAGCAAGGATAATAACAGTCTCTTCCTAAGACTAGCTCCCTCCTTGCTCAGGACCTGAAAGCTAATGAAAGGCCAAGAGTTTAGGATTATGAGAGGAACCTGAACTCTGCTAAAATATAGGCATGGTTTTTATAATCCATTACTGCTCAGAGATTTGTGACTTCCCTAATTTCTCCTATAGATAACAGCACTATTGTAGAATGTAAGATTGGTCTTCTGAGATGTTTTTCAGGTTTTTGCATTTGGCAACTGACTGACTCTACCTGGACCTGTGACTCATGACTCAACTGGTCCTGTGGCCCCCAACCAGAGGTGGATACAGCACATGAGGACCATTTCCCACACCCTCATCCCCAACCAATCAGCAGTACCCATTCCCTAGCTCCCTTCCTACCAAATGATCTATAAAAACCGTAGCCTCTGTGTTCTTGGGGAGACTGAGTTGAGTGATAACTCCAGTTCTTCCACATGACTGGCCTTGTGTTAATTCAACTCTTTCTTTACTGCAATATACCATGATCTCAGGGAACTGGTTTTGTCTGTATGACAGGCAGGAAGAACCCTTCAGGCAGTTACAGTCCCAAGAAGTGAAACAGGCCAAAAGTAAAAGTTTAGAAAATGTTTAAAAATTTTCCTGGATTACACATATATAATAGGTTTTAGTGTGGGTTACATAGATGTTTGGGAGGTTTACCTCCCTGACCTTTAAGTCTAGCAGGGATCATGATCTTTCTTTCTGCCACATTTCTGGCAGCCACTGGTCAGAGAGAATGGTTGTGCCATGGACATTACACTTTAAAAGAATATGGAAAAAATAGGAGGCAGGTTTTATGAGATGGAAAACGTGAAGAAATGGTATATGCTCTGAGGTTGCTTAGGCTATACAAGATAATCATTTCAAAAGAAATAATTTTATGAAATGGTTATTGAGTCATGTTTATGCCTGAAGATGATTAATATGAGGAAATGATCTTAAAATATGTGGGTGAAACAAATCAGTAGTTAGGCTTGGGAATCTGACCCTTTAGTTGATTAACAAGGAATGGGCCATAAGGAATGAAGAATGACATAGTTAGAAGGGTGGAGATATTCAAATATCTTCAAGATATTGAAGTATCTTGAATATTTTCAAGAGGAAGAGGTAATCATTTACCCTGTGTGGTTTCAACTAGAGACTGGTATAGATACAGGAAATTAGAAGCCCCAACTTCTTTAATTCAGATTTAGTAATTTTTTTAAAAAAATTAACTCACTAATATATGGTACTTAATGAGAAACTTTAAGAGGAAAAGTGTATTGACACAAGTACTTTGTTAAGATAAAGCGCCCAGCTACTTACTTTTCCTTTTTGTAATGGAGAAGAGCAAAGAATATATGTCAAGCCGTAAAATATAGAGAACATTAGTCAGGAAGGATAAAAATTTAAATTTAAATCTCTACTCATTCAGTATTTTCCCACGAAATTGAGTTCCTGACCAGGTTGTTGACAGCAAGATCTACTATGACAAACTACTTTTTAAAAAGTATATTGGCAGCTTTGTGAAATATCAAAACTTCAATTTCTGTAAAGCTTGTTGTAGGGAACTGCATTTGTTTAGAATATTTGCTATAGAAAACTGTTCACTTAAAAGTTACAAATTCAGTTTTTCTATGGGTATACAATTTGCTCATCAACTATATAACATTGGTATTATTGATTCTGGCTTCACTGATGTTGTTATAATTTAATCAACCAGTTCAAAAGCTGTGTAGGTTCTTTTCCCTGTCAAAGATGTTTCTTTATTCAGATCTTAGTCTTTGCAAGTTTTTTTTTTCTTTCAAGTTTAAAAAATTAATGATGGCTGGGGCCAGTAGCTCACACCTGTAATCCCAGCACTTTGGGAAGCTGAGGCGGGTGGATCACTTGAGGTCAGGAGTTCGAGACCAGCCTGGCCAAGATGGCAAAACCCTTTCTCTACTAAAAATACAAAAATTAGCCTGGTGTAGTGGCATATGCCTGTAGTCTCAGCTACTCAGGAGGCTGAGGCATGAGAATCGCTTGAATCCGGTCGGCGGAGGTTGCAGTGAGCCAAGATCATGCTATTGCACTCCAGCCTGGGTGACAGAGCAAGACTCTGTCTTAAAAAAAAAAAAAAGTTAATGGTGTTTACAAAATATTTGTTTATATATTGAAATACTCAATGGAAAGTCTCAATTATTCCCCACTGGCAGGCTATGTGTGCCATATGATATGTGTGCCATAAGTGACCCAATCTAACTTCTAGTGCTGTGATAGGACCTGGGCTTAGAGGGAGGTGTCTGCAATGTCTTAGCAAAACTAGGATATCAGTAGCCTCATGAACAACTTTTTAAAAACTCCATCTGCCTACTTTCTCTTTCTGTAAAACTCAATTCCTTCTTAAAATGCTGTGTGTGTGTGTCTCTGTGTGTGTGTGTGTTTGTGTGTGTGTGTGTTTTGAGATGTAGTCTCACTCTGTTACCCAGGCTGGAATGCAGCGGCACAGTCTTGGCTCATTACAACCTCTGCCTCCCGGGTTCAAGCAATTCTTGTGCTTCAACCTCCTGAGTAGCTGGGATTACAGGGATATGTCCCACCTCTCCCGGGTAATTTTTTTGTGTTTAGTAGAGACGGGGTTTTGCCATGTTGCCCAAACTGGTCTCGAACTCCTGGCCTCTAGTGATCTGCCCACCTTGGCCTCCCAAAGTGCTGAAATTACAGGCATGAGCCACCATACCAGGCCCAAGAGCGGTTTTTTTTTTTTTTAAATTGTTCTTAGTATCCTATATACTTCCTTTAGTGCGAATACCTCTTTGTCTATACTGTGTGTCAAGGATCTTCTTTATAAGAATTACCACATCTGTTTATGTAGCAATGGGTTTGTTTGTCTTTTACTTTCTTTTGACTTCCAAGCAGGGGTAAGTACAGTTTACATTTCTTGGGATAATATGGCTATACTTACCCTTTTCTGTACTTTAGAATTATCCAAGAGAGGAAAATGATGAATAAAATAACGAAGATCATACCAGATAAAGTGCCTAGGCAGTAAAACAAGGTCATTACATGCATGGAAAATATAACTCATAGGTTTTAAATTCTGTCTTAGTATCCAGTCCCACTACAGATTGCCAATGCTTTTTTTTTTTTTTTTTTTTTAGATGTAACTATACATTCTGCTTTACTCTGGGTTTCTATAGCATTAGTCTTACTCCCACAGGGTTATTATAGTTAAGGTGTGATCTGAGCTGTTTTGTAACCTTTAGTCTAACTTCAGCTTTTCCAAAAGTAAGTGAGAACCGTGATGGGGCAGCTGGCCACCAGCTCTCCATGGCCCTGCCCATATCTCTTGCCTAAGGCTTAACACACAGGCATTTCATTGTGACAATACTGGAATTTTCTCTCTTGTTGAATTATATATGTAGGTCCTTTGTCCATTTATTGACTGTTAAAATGCACAATCTCCACAGGTAGGTAGACCCAGGCTACCCCATTCTGTGGTCTTGGGCAAGTTACATAAACTCTCTGTGTCTCAGTGTCCAGATGTGTAAAAAGGGATGTAGGAATAATATGCCACAGTATTCTGTTGGAAGCAGACTCTTACAAAATGATTCTTATTTAGGCAGACCAAAGATATGGGCTCAGAAGACTGGTCTTGTGGCTTTCTATTTGTGCAAATGAGCAGGATCACCATCCGAAAGTATACTTCAGGTTACAACCGAAGGAAGTTGCATTCTCCCAGCACATTCAAATAAAGAATTTTTGACACTGATGAATGATTATTCATTTGTAATGGTTCAAAGACAGTAAAGAGCCTTTGATGAAGGTTGTTTAGTATGCATATGACAATGCCAGTTTCACTATCTCGTGGCCTAACTTATCATTATTTTCTTTCTAGTTGAACTTACAACTCAAGATATTTTGGTCTCTTTACAACTCAAGATATTTTGATCTCTTTACAACTCAAGATATTTTGATCTCTCTTTTTGCATTTCATTCATTATAGGTAGGTACTTACTGTTAAAGATGCCAGAATTCCTCAGCAAACCTTTCATGAAACTTACCAACTATTAGAGCATCACGTGCACCTAAAAGGAAGAAAAAAGTCACAAAAAGTCACTCTAGCATGCAATGTGATTGAGCAGGACCTCTCAGCCAGTGACAAGTCATTCTAATTTTTCTCCAGGACTCAGTCTAATATTTTTTCTAATGCAAAAAGCCATTGGTTTCATTCACATACTCTCATTTTACCTTCTGCACTCAGAGAAGACTTTTAAAAATTAATATTAATACAATTACAGAAGAAAATTTATAATACAGAGCTAAAGAAAAAATCACTTCAATCCTAGTACCCAAAAAATGTTTTGATACATTCTGTTCTGGCACATTTTCTCGTGTGTGTGTTTTCACCTAATTATACACTAGAAATATAAGTTACAACAAAGGCTAACTAATATAATCTAGTAGATGCATCATAGTGCATTCAGTGGCTTCTATTCTGCATTTAAGTTGTTTCTAGGTTTCTGTCTCATGAGACCCTTAATAAAATGCTTAATAAAATATTTTAATATTTTATATTTTTCCTTAGATTAGATTTCTAGGAGGGCTAACTGACAGGAATAGTTGTATTATTTTTCACATACATTGCATAATTGTTTTTCGTAAGAGTTTTTGCAAATTTACAATAGTACCTTCAACACACAACAATATCAGTTTCATCACATCCTTGCTTTTAATTGGGTGTTCACCTAACAACCTTTTTATTGTTAATTTAATGGACAATTTTAAAAAAATGTTTTGCTCTTGTCGCCTAGACCAGAGTGCAGTGGAGCAATCTCAGCTCACTGTAACCTCCACCTACTGTGTTCAAGCAATTCTCCTGACTCAGCCTCCTGAGTGGCTGGGATTACAGGCATCTGCCACCATGACCGGCTAATTGTTTTATTTTTTAGTAGAGACGGGGTTTCACCATGTTGGCCAGGCTGGTCTTGAACTCCTGACCTCAGGTGATCCATCCGCCTTGGCTTCCCAAAGTGCTGGGATTGCAGACATGAGCCACCATACCCGGCCCCTTTATTTTATTAATATCAATTTCATTCCACTTATTTGTATGTCTCTTCTTGTGCTGGTGCAAAGTGACTTTTGTATTGTTGCTTTATATTTTGTTCTAATATTTGATACAGTTGGTTCCCCAACTATCTGAGTTTTCTGTCAGTCCCAGCCAGATCTTCAGAATACTCTAAAGCCATTTAGTAAGTTATCCAGTGAGATTTTTGCCAAAAAAGCGAATATAATTTGATATTAAGGGGGTGTCAAGCTGATAATTTAGAAATATTATCCGTGAGTCATATTAGCATATTTACAGAATTGTAAAACTGGATCTTGAACAATCTTGGTGTAGAACCATGTATTAGAAGAGTCATAAGAGATGGGGAGAGGGGAAAGTGTAACACTAACTTGGATTAAGAAAGGCTGTTCATTATTAATTTTGCTCATCTGCTCCACGATGTGGGTAGAATTTTCTATCTTGCAGTACCTCTCAGTTGCCAGCAGAGGGCCACTCTTCTACAGAGCTCAATGATACATGATTTCTAAATCTGCTCTATCCAGCTGTGCTAGCTTAAAACCTGTAGCCTACAGTGGTGAGGGAGACAGGCCGGCTGCTCTCTGCAGCTTGGAAGGTGCTCCCTAACTCATGCTGAAAACATTTCTTTTAAGGCTTGTAGGCTGTAAATAAATCATTACTGTGTGGCTCATGCAACCACGTGACATAGACAAAAAAGGAGCAGAGCTGGAGTGAGAGGTGTGAGAAGAGAAAGTCTGGCCTTACTCTCATTTTGGGATTTTTGGAAGAGGTGGACGCTCATATTGTACTCCATAGCTGGTAGCATATGCCATAAATATCACACCACACTTGATGCCAATATGGATGAATGAATGAGCAATAACCATGAATGGGAAGGTCCCACATTCCTTGTACTTGCACTTACGAGAGGTACATATGGCCAGAGGAGGGTCCCATCTGTCATCCGCCTGGCACTGGCTCCAGGGACTGCCTTCCAGCGCATACCCATCTTCACACTCCAAAGTCACATAATCTCCATAGTGATACACTTTTTTCATTTCTAACTCCTTCGAGATTCCATTCATAAACTGTGGGAAGCTACAATTTACCTCTGAAATTAGATAAATCAAAAGGAAATTGATATTTTATTGTTGTTGGTTTTTTTTTTTTTTTTTTTTTTTTTTTTTTTTTTTTTTTTGAGACGGAGTCTTGCTCTCACCCAGGCTGGAGTGTAGTGGCACGATCTCGGCTCACTGCAAGTTCTGCCTCCCGGGTTCACGCCATTCTCCTGCCTCAGCCTCCCGAGTAGCTGGGAGCACAGGTGCCCACCACCATGCCCGGCTAATTTTTTGTATTTTTAGTAGATACAGGGTTTCACTGTGTTAGCCAGGATGGTCTCGATCTCCTGACCTTGTGATCCGCCTGCCTCAGCCTCCCAAAGTGCTGGGATTACAGACGTGAGCCACCACGCCCGGCCGATTGTTGGTTTTAACTGCAGAATAGACGGATCTATGACTGCAAAACCTATTTTGCCCTTAGCTAAGAAAAAGCATGTTTTTAAACATGTTACTAATCTTCCTCCTCCAAAAGCCTTATAATTTAACATGTTTTGACTCCCATTTCTTAATGTAAAGTAATAGAATATGGAATGTACTCTTCATTCACTTTTGATTAACAGCTCTGCAACTGGAAAGCTGTGGAAAGATTAGGAATTAGGCTAACGGTGATCTAGCCCTGAAGCCACTTGGGTCATGCTGTAAGGAAACAAGAGTACCATGTTAATTCTCTCAGGCTTCACAACAAATACTGGCACTCTGCTCTTTATTAAATGCATACTTTTGGCCCATTTCTGCACATAGAACAAAGAAGTTAGTAAATCATGATTCTGAATTTAAAATTCATCTTTCTTTCTTTTTTTCTTTCTTTTTTTTTTTTTTGAGTCTCACTCTGTCACCCAGGCAGGAACGCAGTGGTGCAATCTGGGCTCACAGCAACCTCCACCTCCTGGGTTCGAGCAATTATCCTGCTTCAGCCTCCCGAGTACGTGGGATGACAGGCATGTGCCACCATGCTGATTAATTTTTGCATTTTTGGTAGAGATGGGGTTTCACCATGTTGGCTAGGCTGGTCTGAAACTCCTGACCTGAGGTGGTCTGCCCGCCTTGGTCTCCCAAAGTGCTGGGATTACAGGCCTGAGCCACTGTGCCAGGCCTAAATTTAAAATACATCCTTCTGATTAATTTACTTTATTTCATTTTTTTTTTTTTTTGAGACGGAGTCTTGTTCTGTTGCCAGGCTGGAGTACAGTGGCACGATCTCAGCTCACTGCAACCTCCACCTCTGGGTTCAAGTGATTCTCCTGCCTCAGCCTCCTGAGTAACTGGGACTATAGGCATGTGCCACCACACACAGCTAATTTTTGTATTTTTAGTAGAAATGGGGTTTCACCATGTTGGCCCGGATGGTCTCGATCTCTTGACCTCATGATCCTCCCGCCTCAGCCTCCCAAAGTGCTGGGATTACAGGCATGAGCCACTGCACACAGGCTACTTTATTTTGTTTAACTCATCCTTAGCTTTACTTTCTTTTTCTGCCCAGCCATCAGCACATCCTTCATCTTCAAGCACAGACTTCTTTTCAGTTGTAATATTCTCAAAATTAGCCTACAATATTTTTTTCCTTGATAGAAACAAGAAGGCAAAGTGGTATTTATTGTAATGTGGACTGTGGTCTTCCTGCATCAGAGCATTCTGATGAGTTTGTTAAAAATAGACTTTTGACCCCACTTCAAAACAGAATCAGAGGCCATGGAATGGAGTTTGAGAAACTTTTAAACAAGGTTCCCAGCTGATTGTGTTAATGCTCTGGATGGAGAAGCACTGCTATCGACTATGCAAAGAGGACAGTTAGTAAGATGAAATAAATTTTATGTAAATGAAAAGAAAGCAGCTGCCAAGAGGACAAAATATTATCCCTTTCATTATGCTCTCTCAGCCTTATAAGTGCTCTCTCAGCCTTATAAGTGGTCTCTCAGCCTTATAAGTGGTCTCTCAGCCTTATAAGCCTCATGTATCAGTGTTCCATACAACCCAGCAAGAATAAGAAATACCAAGAAATAAGTCACCTTTGCAATAATGATCCAATTGGCTCCAGATTCCCTGGTCTGTACAGAAAATGATGCCCTTTCCCACTAACAGGTAGCCGGGGTCACAAATGTAGCTGATTGTCATCCCAGGAAGATATAGAGATACGTGTCCTCCAATGTAATGCCCGTTCTGGATCTTGGGTGGATGTGGGCAGGCTAAGAACAAGTTCCCACACAAACACAAGAAAAGACACTCAGTTAAACATAGGCATATGAACACATGAACATATCCAATATCTCTGGCTATTAGAGGTTCATGAAGACCTGAGCCAGCCAGGTCATAAGCCACTCACTCCTGTTTGATCAGTGAAAGACAGGTTCTCTAAACCTAGACTTCTTGACATTTAAACACTATCCTTTACAGTCTCTAACTTCAAACTGGGTCAGATGGGGAAGTACCACAGGGATCGACAAGCTAACAATTCAGTGCTGTTCTGTCCTTACTGGAAGATGGAGCTGGTGTGGGCAGTCATAGCCACACATGTACCTACAGTTGTCAGGTACTGTCATTTAAAGCCAGACTAATATATCAAAGGAATGAGCTATGGAGGCTAAGAGTACAATCTCTCTTTATATATATATATATAAAATACCACGCTCTCTTTATATATGTATATATTTAAAGAGAGTACAATCTCTCTTTTTATATATATATGTATGTGTGTGTGTGTATATATATATGTACACTTTAAGTTCTAGGGTACATGTGCACAATGTGCAGGTTTGATACATAGGTATACATGTGCCATGCTGGTTTGCTGCACCCATTAGGCTAAGAGTACAATTTTAAACTCTGCTTCTCCAGGGCCTCCTGAGTTCCCTTTATTAATATTGAGGTGAAGGATCAAATAAACATAGTCAGTGGCTTGAACAAACCCTTGGAAACAACATAAAAAGTATAAATCCCTACATCTGAGTTTCTTAAATTACTTTCATAGCACTATCAGTTCTGAAGTAAATTATGTCGTCATCGTGTACTTTTTGTGCAGCACATCCATCTATCCAGGATAAAGACAACTCATAGTAGTAGACGTAGAATAAAAGAGTATTTTCTTTAGCATTTGCTTTCAGTACTTTGAAAATATTCTCTACAAAATTTGGACCTCACCAATTCTCTTCACTGTCCACCCCCTTCTCTCCTTACCTATCACACTCCTCACCCCATAGGAAGGACCATCAGAATACCAACAACTGAGACACAGTGTGCCTACTAGAACCCATTTGTCATTCACTTGGGAGGTAGTTCTGTCTCTGACATTCATAGCAAAGCCATTTTCACAAGCAAAAATGACTGCCACTATAGAAATATGGAGGTTCTCACCTAGATATTCTGAACCCGTTTAGGATATGTGGAAGCAGGTACTAACCAGCAGGAACAGAAAGTTCACAGCGAGGGGCGGGGCTGCTCCAAACCCCATTCCCTTGAGGGTCACTTGTGCAGCGGATGGTGCTCTCCCCAATGAGGTTGAAGGTCATCCCTCTGTCTGGGTGGGGGTCGCATGTGTAAGATATTTCTTTTCCATAGGGAATATCTCCAAGGGGAGCTCCTGTGTGTCTCCCATTAAGGATAGCTGGAGGATTTGGGCAAAAGATTTCTAGAAAGAAAACAAGAGCTTTAAGTTCTATTAGAGTTTCACTTAAGATGACTGAAATAATAGTGACCTGTGACTGTGCGTTTAGAAAGAATATAACTAAGGTGGATGGAATTTAAATCTGTAAGGCTTTTGTTGAGAGGCAACTAACTGAAGTGAGGCCTAAATTACAGTTTATTGCAAAAGCCCAAAGTGTTCCTGGGCCACCCGGGTACCTATGTTCATTATGAATTTGAAAAGTAATTGTTTTAATTTTTTAAAAAGGACCCATTTGGTTGCCCACTTTAACTCAGGCATAGTAAGATTCCTGGGTTGACAATGAGGTTCAAGACAGACAAAGTTTTGGTCATCAGAGACCATAAGTTCCAAGGAAATCTATGAACTTTAATAATCATGAACTATCATCTTTAGCAATGTAAATGTTTCTTGGTGATTCAAGACCATTATCATCAGGACCAACACCAAATTTCCAGTGGCGTCATCAGACACCAGTAAGGCTCTTTTGACTCAGATTAAATGGTGCCAAAGAGCCCTTTTTTCTTTCTTCCAATTTATTAACCATCATTTCTTCCTCCTTTTAGTCTGCTTAGAACAGTTCCTTCCCTAAAAGCACTTGATGCTTCTAATTTGATATGAATTTAGGAAGAGATGCCCAAGTTTATCAGAATTATGTGTATAAAAAGGACTTAGTACATCAAACAATGATTGACTTCTCATGCTTGAATTTTACCTGTTTGTGTTTTCCTAAGTTTATTTATATATTTATTTTCAGCTTTATGTGTCTCTGTAAGGTTGAGTTTGTTGAATACTTGAGTTTCCTCAGGTATTAAATGTTCTTCACCATAATACTCACCATAAGATATCCGAATTGATTTCTATAAGTTATTTTAACACAATACAAATTAAAATAAACATTTTCCAATAATCAGGAAAAAAAGGTTTAAAAAATTCTTGCCTTGCTTTAGTAGACAGAATAGAATCAATCAGTAATGCCTTGGTATGTCAAACATGTACTTTTATCTAAGAGTTTCTGAATTTTTTCTGAATTTCAGCATATTTTATTTAAGCGGATGGTTTGGAAACTTAGGGCACTAATCATCATTTCAGACACTGATTCATCATCCCAGCTCCTTCCACCATACTAATTTATCATGTAACTCTGTTTTATTTTCTCTATAACATGCCTATTTAACTGCCATTTTATGTATTATAATTTTTAGAATTTTGTTTACTTATTTATTTCCTTGTTCACAGTCTGCCTCAAGAAAATACACCCCAGGAAAGTAGGGAGGTGTCTTCACTATTCACTCGCTATTCGTTGCTTTTTCTACTCATGGAAAGTCCTGGCACACGGGAAGCCCTATGTCATTAAATGCTGCAGGTCAAATAAGAAGCTGACTAAATTGTTTATGATATGTGAGGGGATAAAAGAATATACAAATTTGGCTGGGCATGATTGCTCACACTTGTAATCCTAACACTTTTGGAGGCCAAGGTAGGAGCATATCTTGAGCCCAGGAGTTTGAGACCAGCTGGGGCAATATGGCGAGATTCTATCTCTGCAAAAAATACAAAAATTAGCCAGGTGTGGTGGCATGCACCTGTAGTCCCAACTACTAGGAGGCTGAGGTGCGAGCCCAGGAGATTGAGGCTGCAGTGAGCTGTGATTGCACCATTCCACTGTGTCCTGGGTGACTGTGTCTCAAAAAAGAAAAAAGAAAACATAAACATTTAAGAAAGATTCCTCCTTGATAAGAAAACTAAAAATAAATGACTAACTAAAACATGCTGCACCTTTATGTCATCTAGTTTCTTGCTCACATTCCCCACAAAGTTAAACACTGTCATTAAACTAAGTGATTTACAGATTAGTAACAAAAACACATGTCAGAGAAGACCTACAAGACCCTTCTTGAAATTCTTCCAACAAAGAAGTATTTTTATCCGTAATTTAGTTAAGTAAAGATCCAGACAACAGGTGATTCCATGCAGAAAAACACACTGGAAAACAAAAATAAGGAGAGTTATCCAAACTACATAGTTCTTTCCACTCACGTTCACACACTGGAACACTGCTATTCCAAAGGGCTTTCATTCCAGCCAAGACACAATGACTAGCAGACCTGCCTTTTAATCGGAACCTAAAGAAAAAAAAAAGTGGTAGCAAATGTGTGAGCAATTCCCATCTCTCCCTTGATTTCTTCACTAACAGATGCTCGGCTTCCTCACTACCATTTTCCTCCTTGACTATCATTTGGTTCTTAGGTTCAGGCCCAGCTAAAACTCTTAGTTCACTGGGGATCTGAATTCTTCAGTAGCTGGCAGAAACTCAAAGGCCAATTTACTCTAAAGAACCATGGTACCCTGTGACTGGCAAAGCAATTGGAGCTGATGTGCATAATTGCCATATAAACTTCATAGCCCAGCATCACCTACAGAAGGCATGAACACAGAACCAGACTTCTCCATGGGCACAAGAGCTATAACCTTCAGGTGTCATCTTTCACTGATGGCTCTCTGACATCCCACTTATTCTCATTAATGGGTCATGAGGCAGAACAGCTCTCGATTTGGTAAGCAAAGCCAGGAACATCTAGAAAGAGAATGTGGGCACTGTTCTTCTTGCCACTACAATTGTAACGGGCCAGAGGAGGCTCACAGAAGCATGCTGAACCACGTGCTCTAAGAAATAAAGAAGAGTGGGGGTAAGAGTCTTTGCTGCCCCGAAATGCCCAACTGATTATTGAGTCCTGCTTCCCTTCTGAAATCTGAAATCATTCTGAAATTAGACATCATTATTGGATGGTGCACTTTGTAAATGCCAAAGATTCCTTGGAAATCATTAAAAATAACTGCTTAATTGCCCAATCTAGTTATCCCTCCAGACTCATAGTGCACACTACCAAGAGTAATGGATACACATAAACAACTAATAATACCACTTGAAACTGATAGAAGCAGGAGGCAGACAAATCGTAGGCAGATGGGGCGGATCCCGATGAAACCCGACCTTCAAGTTGAAGACAGTTTAAAGCCTCGCTACAAGTTCCAGGTAAACCCATGGACTGGCTTGAGAACCTCTCTTCCCATTGGGTGTGCTTTCCTCTGATTGCTCCTCACTCTTCATCTGTTTTACATATACCTGCGCTTCCCTAATTGGTTTTTACACTGCTGTGCCCACCTTTGAGTGGTGTCTTTGTTTTAGTCTTTTTTGCATACTCACAAACCAATCAGCACAGGCTCCCCATTCTGAGTCCATAAAAGCCCCAGAACCAGCCACACTAAGAGACAGAGAGAGACCCCCTGACTTCATCTGGGGGACCACCTCGTGTCTCCTCTCTGCTAAGATCGTCGCTCAGTAAAACTCTTCTCTACCCTCCTCACCCTTTCATTGATAGCATAACCTTATATTTCTTGGATGTGGGACAAGAATTCAGGACCCACCAAATACAGGTACAAAGAAGCCTGTAACACTGTGGCCCTCCGCTCTCTGCTGTGGGAGGGCAGCTGCACCACGTGACAGGAAGCAGCAGTGGGTCAAGCCAGCCCCAGAGATGCAGGCCTGAGCGGGGCTACAGGATTGACAGAGCTGTTAAACACACCGCCATCTGTTGGGCTGCGGGCATTATCAAATGCTACGAGCTGTTAGCGTGCTGTAATACCCTCTCTGGGCTTCAGGGTCGTGCGTACCCCTGTGTTTGGGCACCACCACATTTCGTTCAGTGCGACATGCCTGGTCCAGCTGCAAGCACTGCTCGGACCCCATTCCTGTGCAGGTGCTTGGAGTGGCCAGCTGGACCCCACACTCGCTCACTCACACACCCCCTCCCACCAGGGGCTGAGTGTGCAGTCGTGGGGGCCCCAGGGTCTGAGTCAGAGCACTAGCCAGGCGCTGCCTGGTGGGCCGAGTAGATGTGGTGTTTCCTGCGGTGAACCTGGGCCCACGCAAGGCCTGGGCAGGGGCATTGCTGGCCGGAAGTCATTGGCTGGCAAAGTGGCTGAGAAGAATCCTGTATTAAAAGAATTACACTGGCCATTCCTGACCTGAAGATATATTATTGGGTGAAAACACACTTACCCATGCACTGTTACAGATTCCGCTGTTGATTGGTTTTAAGTTTCCTAAGCGACCTTTGCCTTCCATATCATGGGACAAACAATTTTTGTCTTATTCCTCATTTTTTTTTCCTAGCACAGCTTTTATAAAATTATGTTCTTTTGCCTCCAAATAAATACATACCCATTCACTTCAAGTTCCAACTGTGGACTCAAGATCAGTGACTGTATTTAGGTTTGTACCTGACATTGAGCTGTATGTGCCATTTTCTCATTGTCTTCTGAAAGTGGTGCCACTTAGTCCCTATCCTTATTTCTAAACTACCCTTCCATAAATTCATCTCTCTGGGTACTTCTTATCTACTAGGTTGGCTCCTGTTTTGGATTAACCCCTGAACTCAGGGGAGTGATTCTCCACACTGAGTCCTTGGTCTCAACTCTGGGTCACACTCACCCTTCATCGCAAACAAAGGACACCTTTGCTCCAAGCTGGAGATTGAGTGGAAACAGCACATGGCCATGAGGGAGTTGGCCCAGGAATTCATCACAGTATTTCACTAGAAGAAAAAAATAAAACAACAGGAGTAAGACCTCCATGTGAGGGGGAAACAGCAATCTGGAAGCCAGAGAGTCAAGGCACCTGTACATGTGGGGGCTTCAGGGCTCCAGTCTCCCTGGGGCGTGCAATGCAGAGACGCAGCCCCTCTGAGGTCATAGCCGGGCTCACAGCTGTAGAACACTTCCTGCCCAGGTGAAAAGTTGTCCTGATGGCTTGGAGTATGCTCACCATGCAGGATTTCTGGAGGCGGCTGACACACTGTGGAAAGGACAGTTCCAGAGCACTTGTTAATTATGGGGGAATTTCCTTTGCTACATCTTAAGCTAGCCTGAGAGCTTAAAAATCGTCATTGCAGAGGGCAGCTATTAAAAGAGAAGATTGGTAGTTCAGTAGCCGCACGTCACTAACAAGGAAACCAAGGATACCAAGCAGAACTGTGACTAGAATCAAAGTCTCTCCAACACCTTGTCTGTGTTTTTTTTCTACTGAAACATGTTCCAAAGACTACAAGGCAGCATATTCCTCTTGCTTTCAACTACTGGTTATGGAGCACAGAGTCGTGAGTGTTGGTGGCTTGGCCGCTCTTCCGTTTCCTACAGAGGCAATCCCTCAAGCTCACGCGTAAGGCAGCAGCAAGGGGTACTGTTGCCAAGGTCTCATCTAACAGACACCTTCACCTAGTCTTCATTTTCCTCACTCCCTGTCCCTCTTTCAGCCAGCACAAGGCTGAACTGTTAGCTTCCTTTCTGTCCCTGTGACCAATTCTAATTCTTCCCACTCTGTGTTAAGCCAGTCATTTCAGCTAAGAAAAGAGGAGGCATCAAGAACAAAGTCATGGGGGCAGGGGGTGAGGGTAGGGAGGGGAGGTGAGGACAGTTAATGGGTACAAAAAAAAAAAAGAAAGAATGAATATGACGTAGTATTTGATAGCGTGACAGGGTGACTGTAGTTAGTAAGAACTTAATCGTAGGTTTAAAAATGAAAGAGTGTAATTGGATTTTTTGTAACACAAAAGATAAATGCTTAAGGGCATGGATACCTCATTCTCCATGATTATTTTACATTGCATGCCTGTATCAAAACATTTCATGTACCCCATAAATATATATACCTACTATGTACCCACAAAAATTAAAGATTAATAAATTAAAAATAAACAAAAAGAACAATCCCCCCTCAAAGAAAAAAAAAGCTACAGACATTTTAGTGATAGAATCTATTGCTTAGACCATATTTTAACCGAAATATTGGCTGCCTCCATGCACAGGACAATTGGTGTGTTCTCAGGGCATCAAAATGCAGGCATGGTGGCTCAGGCCTGAAATCCCAGTACTTTGGGAGGCTGAGGCAGGAGGATTGTTTGAAGACAGGGGCTCAAGATCAGCCTGGGCAACATAGCAAGACACTGTCTCTAAAAATAAATAAAAATTAGCCAGATGTGGTAGTAGGTACCTGCAGTTCCAGCTACCTGTGAGACTGAGGCAGGGGTCTTACTTGAGCCCAGGAGTTAGAGGCTTCAGTGAACTATGATTGTACAACTGTACTCCAGCCTGGGCAACAGAGTGAGACCCTGTCTCAAACAAACAAACAAACAAAACAATCAACAAACCTCCAAGAATGAATTTGAGCCTCAATCTGAACCATATATAATTATATATCAAGTATATATGTGTGTATATATATGTTTGTTTGGATTTGAGCGAAACACTTTTTCTGAGCCTCAGTCTTTTCAGTTATAATGTGAAAGAGTTGAAGTCCAAGGCCTTTTTGATTTGATGCTCTCATTTTGGTCCTCATGGCTCACTTGCCTACTGCCCCACTCCAGGGATAGAGATATGATCACCACTATTACTCATTATTGTTCATTAGACATTCCACTGTACATGATCATTAGGCTCTGGAGTCAGAGCCTTGGAAAAGTTCTTTAATATCACTAAGACTCAGTTCTCTCAAAGTAAAATGGGGATACCAATAGTAGCTACCTCATATATTCGCTGTAAATGGTAAATTTTAAAATGCATATAAAATATGTCTACTATAGATGAGAGAATAAGCCATTACTTTGAGATAAGTATTAACAGAGATAACAGACAGTGAAGCTACTATAATGCTTAAAGTGTTTATGCCAATTTCATACTCCTTACACACTTCTTCCTTAATTTCAGCAACTCCTATCATCTATATGTACCCTCACACCCAGCAAAGTATTGATGGCTCACACTCACCCCTGGAGCAGTGTGGCAGCTTGGGCCCCCATCTGTTGTTGGTCTGGCACTGCACAGTGTGGGACCCTACCATGACAAAGCCGGGCTGACATCTAAATCTCACGATCTCATTGAGGGAAAAGAAACTCCTATTTCCTGGTACTCTAATTCCGTTTTTAACTTCTGGAGCTGTGCATTTATTAGTAGAAATACATTGAGGGGGAGGGCTGCTCCAAACACCAACTTGATCATCTTTGCTGGTGCAATATATTGACCGTTCTCCCACGAGCTCAAACAGCTGTTCTCCATCTGGTCCAGTGTGGCACTGGTAAGTTACCACTGTTCCACTGTGAAAAGATGTTCTGTTGTTGCTGTAGAAGTCTCCATTGGATATGGTTGGAGGTGGCTTACAAGATATGACTGAGAGAAGGAAGAATGTGGTAAAACAGCTTATTTTTTAATAATGAATTATTTTACTATGAATTTAAATACCAAATGCAAATAATCCAATAATTTTCTAAATGGAATTACAATACTGTTATTTTCTTAAAATATTTGCTAATAATCAGACATTTTTACCTAGTTGAAATTTAGGCATGTATGATACTGGTTCTGCTCATAGTTAAGTATTTCACCAAAAAAACATGTATTTTTTTTGGTTTACATATTTATAATTTTAAGTGGATAATACATGTGATTTTATCACAGATTGTTAAGGTACTTATCTACTGCTGGACATTTTCTCCTATAGGTTATTAAAGTAACCTCTTTGCAGGTTAAATATACTACTTCTGGCATTATTTATCAAGAAAACGAGAGCAAAGGAAATACAAAAGATAAGGCATGAAAAATGAAATAATGGCAGATGTAGGGGCAATAAAATGATAAATGAACACTGTGTTCTGTCATAAGATAATAGTATTCACATATTGGCTAAGTGACTACACACACATACACACATAACTAGTGTTGACTCAATTAAATGATTACTGACCTATAAATGTAGAAGTGTAAAATTTTTTTTTAGAAGAATGATTAAATACTTTATTGAATATACAAACTTTGGAATATAATGCTCCCATTAAAAACCATTTTTCAAAGAATATTTAATGTCATGGAAAGATTTTTTTTTTTGCATTCCTTTCTTTTTTTATGTTTTCAAGGTTTTATTATTATTACTATTATTATTACACTTTAAGTTCTAGGGTACATGTGCACAATATGCAGTTTCATTACAAAAGGTGCGATGCCTAGAAAACTTCGTATAGTAAACTGATAATTCTTTGATAATTGGAATTATTTCATAGAATTTCAAGTTCTTGGCAGGTATGGGAGGCACCTTGTATATATTCTTATTCATTTAGTCTTTAAAAGTCAATGTTAATTTAGCGGGGAGGAACATTAGTGAATACAATGAACACATTCATTGGAGGAAATTTTAAAAATATGGACAAAAAGAAAGAAGAAAATGAAAATGGTTCAAAGATAACTATTTGTAACAATTTAATTATATCCTCTTAGATACTTATGTGGATACATGCATATGTATGGATGGATGTGTTTTCTATACTACCATATTTGGTGGCTGAATAATAATCAGTCATGTAGCTTCACAGATATGCTCTTCCCACTTGGATGAGGCATCTCAACCTTTAATTCCTCATGGTGCACTTTTTTACATTTCTTAAAAACTTATAGCCATTAAAATACACCTTATTTTTTCTACTAGCTATTTTCAAACCATGCTGAACATTTAGGTTGTTTAACATTTTCCACTATCCCAAATATTATTGCATTGAGTATCTCTGGACCAAAATTATGGGACTATTTCATGATTATTTTCTTGGGCTAAATTCTGGGAAACGGAATTGTGTGTCAGAGGGTGTTTACTTTCAGGCTTTTGTTTATATTGGCCATTAGCTTTCTGGAAATCTGTGCCTACTTTTGCTGCCATCAATTCTGTGTGTGATGCTGATTTCTTCACAGCTATAACACTTTGCCAATTTGCAATCATTCTTTCATGTTTTTAAAGTTTTGGAGATTCATTTAAAAATATCTTATGGGAAAAATGGAGGGTCAGCTAATCAAGAACAAATACGACTAAAGACATGAGCCTAAAAGAATTGAAGGAGGATTAGAACTCAAAATGACCAGAGGATTAGGGAAATTACTAAGAACTGTAAGAAGAGTTCTTTTTATTATTTGGATTAGAATAACAAGAAAATGAGTAGCCTACTTTGTGGAATTGTAACCTGATAGATAGTAAGAGTTGGCAAAGACAGATCTAATTTTGTCTAACGCCTTTAAAATGTACTCATTAAGGACAATACTCTCTATACTGGAAAGGTTTACTATTGTAATAGGAAAGTAGAGCTATTTTGCCTGGGTTCAAGCCCACAGTTTCAGATAAATCACCTTTTAAGATAAAGAAAAGCCAGGAAGACCATGAAGCATCTGACTCCTATTTTCAACTATCTGAGAGACTACTTCGTGCAAGAAGGATTCGATTTATTCTTCATACTCCAGGGGCAAGTCAAGATCACATAGAGGAATTTGTGGAGAAAAGTATTTCAACTTACTCTCACAAATAGGTGCCTCCTTATCCCACGTGACATTATTGCCTGAGACGAGACAAGTAGTAGATGGGGAACCAATGAGTCGAAACCTAAAGCAAAGGATAAAAAATGATTGTACTCTACACATATTTCCCATTTAACTCACCATTTAGAAAATAATAGCAGGTAGACACTAGATATTACAGGACAGATTACACCATGGCAGACCTCGGAAGGAAGAAACCCCATCTCCATCTGCAAATTAGTCCTTTCTTTTTAAGGACAAGCTTACATTTTGACCTCTCCAATTCATTTTTATTCCTAATCACTCACAACTGAATGAGATATTTCCCTTTTTCTTCATGGGACATTTTTGTATTTAAGTCTTTCAGAAACCTTGCAGTTATTTTATCCATGTGTACTTCCAGCAAAGAAATGACAAGCTCCTGGATTAAGTAGGGAAAATGTCTTACTGAAATACATAACACTATAGCACCTAGCTTAGAGACTTTCAAGCTTTGGGTGCTCAGATAGTCTCTTGCATAAAGGAAAGAACACTGGATTTACTCAGAAGAGTCAGTAAATGAGAGCCAGAGGAGACAGCTAAACACTCCTACACTTGAAATGTAAAAGGCAGGGATACTCACCCACTTTGCCATAAAACTGTCTAGAGCAGGCCACAAAATGTAGAACATTTTGTCTTTTAAAAAATTTATTAGGTATCCATAATATTAACTGTGAACAATGTCACAAAGAATCCTGAGCAAAGCTATTCATGTGTTCTGGTGTAGAGCAGAGCTAAACTTGACCCAGTAAAAATTAAAGGGTAAAATGGAATGCCATGTAACGATGAGGCAGTAACCGCAAGAGTTAAGAACGTTTCCTCTTGATTATGCAAGAAATATGATCAGGGCAGTAACCATTTGTAGCAAAGACAATGGTGCCATCCCCAGTATCCACTTTCCTCTCCTTCATTAGTAATGGAACCCTCTACTTTTAACTGGGCCATTGGCCACCTGCAATAAAGGTTTCACTTCTCATCTTTCCTTACAGCCAGGCACAGCCATGTTACTAACTTCTGGCCAGAGGATGTAAGCAGAGTGTCTTGTGCAACTTCTGGAAAGTGTCTTTAAAGGAATTGGCCTTCCCTTCTTCCCTGTGTCCTCTATACTGGCTGGAATTTGGACCATGAGATAAGATGGCGTCTCATTTTGAGGAGGTCAGAGTAGCAAAATGGAAGGAACCCAGGTTTCTGTGGATTATGGAGTCATTGTATAAACGCTGGACTGCCTACTTTCGTGATTTTTAACCTGAGAGAGAAGTAAACTACTATCTATGTTTGAGATCCTGTTATTTTATTTCTTCTGTCTTTTACAGCTGGAATTCCTAACTGATATACCAGCTCTTCCCAAAACAGTGACAGAAAGCTAAAGGGAACCATGTGACTATGGCAATAGTAGTCAATGTTTTTGTAGACACAGTGAGTCTCTTTTACGTTTTAGGTAGTGATTGAATTTTACTTATTGCTAGCCTGTTTAATATAGGCTGTGGTGTAAAAACTTTTCAAGTGTGCCAAGAAAAAAAATCTTAAAAATTGCTGCAAATAAACAAGTTGAGAACCACTGGAGTGTGGAAAGAATAGGATAATCCTGTTATTACCTGTGTTTTCCTCTGCCTGTCTCCTATCATACATTTAAAAGTTGTCTAAGAGCACAGGATCATGGGTGTCCTCTGACTTTTGGCCTCCTAGAGGTTGTTTTGGGTGTGCTTGCTAAGCTAGAGCTTAATGTGACTAAGCTAGAACATTGGAGCCAAAATGTGAAGCAGGTTCCAGCCTACGTATGGCTGCAAAAACACAGTGACTTTTTTTTTTAATTTGATGTTATTTTTATGAACAAATAATAATTGCATATATTTATAGGGTAAAATGTGGTGTTTTGATATATGTTTCTGTTGCAAATGATTAAATTAAGCTAATTAACATGTCCATCACCTCACACATACTTGTTTGTGTCTCTGTGTGTGTGTATGTGTGTGTGTGGTGAGAATATTTAAAATCTACTCTTTTACTAATATTTTTTTCTTTTCTTTCTTTTATTTTTGATAGGGTCTGGCTCTGTCACCCAGGCTGGAGTCCAGTGATGTGATCTTGGCTCACCGCAACCCTTGCTTCCCGGATGCAAACCATTCTCCCACCTTAGCCTCCCAGTAGCTGGGACTACAGGTATGCGCTGCCACACCCGGCTAATTTTTGTATTTTTTGGTAGAGACAGGGTTTTGCCATTTTGCCCAGGCTAATTTCTAACTGCTAGGCTTAAGCAATTCGGATGCCTCTGCCTCCCAAAGTGCTACAGGCATGAGACACTGTGCCCAGCCGGCAATTTTGAAATACACATTATTATTAACTATAGTCATCACACTGTGGAATAGATCTCTGAAACTTACTCCTTCTGTCTAACTCAAACTCTGTGCCCTTTGACCAAATCTCAGCTCCCCAGCAGTTCGTGCCTGGTAACCACCTTTCTACTCTCTACTTCTATGAGTTCAACTGTTTTAGATTTTACATGTAAGTAGGATCATGTGATATCAGTTCTTCTGTGCCTAGCTTATTTTGGAAGGTATTTTATGGCACAAAAACAGAAGGGATGTTAAAATGCATTCAAAATGCAAAATAATTGAAATGATGCAGGAATAGAGACACAGATCCCTAGAGCAAAGTGGGGGAAAACCCAAGAAATAGATACAAGTTTTTGTAAGAAATTTGCAGTGATAAAGATGGAATTTCAAGACACGGAAAACTGAATTATTCATTCATAGGACAAATATCTGAAAAGCTAAGCTAGATCTCTGCCTCATGACATGTGTATCAAAGATTAAATGTCAAAAATAAAACAATAAAAGAACTGGGTGATTTAGGCAAATGCTACTATGAACAACATTGATAAAATTGAATAATTACAAATAAACCTTTCTACATACAAATCCAAAGACAAACCACAGAGGAAAAATAATAAAAACAACTCTTATACATCAATTATAAAAAGGTGAACAACCAAGTAGAAAAATGGTAAAGAATTATGAACAAATAATTTACAAAGGAAAAATGGAAATAGTCAAATGAACATATGAAAAGTTTAGCTTCACTTATAACATGATAAATACACTTTAAAATGCAAATAAAATGCCATTTTTGCCTATTAGATTGGCAAATTGACAAAACCTAGTAGTAATATAAACTCAGAGAAAGAGTCACTGTTGTGACTCACTCCACAGGTCATGATCAAAGTTTAGTGGAGGGCACTTTGGCAATATGTACTGAAAGGCTTAAAACCGTGCATAGCCTTTTACCCAAATCTGCAAATCTTGTCTCTTGTGTCGATGTGAAGATCTGAATCCTTAAGCTGTCTTTGAAGTCAGTGAAGTCCTCCTCTCATTTCTTTTCATGTGTACAGGATCGTGCATTGTAGTGTTTTTGCTAACAGCTGAAATGTGAAACCACTTTAATTCCAGATATTAAGGACTTTGTTAGGTAGGTTATGGACTATCCAAGTAATAACCAATATACAACCACTAAAAATGGTGTTGTAGAGTAATATATAATAATTAGAATAATTATACAATATCGTTCGTAAGTATTAAAGACGGCTATAAAACCATGTACAATGTGAGTCGTTTGGTTTAAAATATATCTATATATAAAGACTTAAAGCTGTTAAATTTTTATTCATCCTTTCAGGAAAAAAACTGCATTTGTTTGAGAAACTACTTGAAGAAAAAGTGGGGACTATATGCAGACAGAACAATTCTGTTAAATACAGAGGTAAGGTATTTATTATTCCAGACAGGGAGTCCTAGGGAAAGAGCCTAGGCTTCAATAGAAGGATTTTACAGATATGGGACATCAGGTCAGGAAAAATTACAACATAATGACACTACAATGTATGTGTGCCTTAAAATACCTTCCAAAATAAGCTAGGCACAGAACTAATACCACATGATTTTTCTTACATGTGAAATCTAAAACAGTTGAATTCATAGAAGTAGAGAGTAGAAAGGTGGTTACCAGGCACTGAGAGGTGGGTATCGAACCCACCTCTGGTCTGGTGTCAAACACCCTTCTTGTTATTATCTCAGAATATTCTTTTGGTGGGTCTCATGACATTTACAGACATCTTGTCAAATTAAAAAAAGAATGTCATTGGAACTGATAGGAATTACATTAAATTTGCATACTAATTCAGGGATAATTAACATCACCACAACATTAAATCTTTTAAAAAAAATGTTATATCCTGCATTTCTTCAAGTATTTTTTTATGTCCCTCTCTTTTAAATCTTCTGCTTATAAGTCCTATATATTTCTTGTTAAATTTCTTTCTGGATGATTTTGTTTCTGTTGTGAATGATATTTTTACTCCTTATATTCTATATTGTTACCTATATAAAGGAAGTAATTAATTTATAAGTATTTATTTTTTGCTAGATATCTCACTACTATTTCTAATTAGTTCTAATAACCTTTCAAACAATTCCTTCGGGTTTTCAGGTAAACAACCATCAGTTAATAATAAATTTACCTTCTCTCTCTCTCTAGCTATATCCATATGTATATCTCTCTAAATATAGGGGGCTGTCATTTTACTGGTTTGAATTTCCACAACTGCTTTGAATAATAGGAAGGGTGCCGAGTGCTCTTTTCCTTTGACCTTTAATTACATTCAAGCATGCTTTTAGATTTTAACCATTCATTATGTTTTTTGGCATTAGAGAGTATATTTATATGACATTTAAGAAAAGTTATACTCTTTAATATTGTAAGTTTGTGGATTTCCTAATTTGGAACCATTTCTGGAATAACCCTACTTGTTTAGCTTGCATAATTCTTTTAATATTGTTTTTATTTAATATTCAAATTAAGATGTTTAGCATTTATATTAGCAAATGAGTCAGAGATATATTTTATTTTAATTTCATTTGTAATCTTTGGCAAACTTTAATATGACTATAATTTTATTTCTGTGTTCCATATCAGTTTAAATAATATCAATACTTGGATTATCTAGTTCTTGAAGTTTAAAAAGAGTTACAAAACTGGGCCATTGTCTTTTTTTGAAGGTGCTTCTTTGTGGTGGTTTTAAATATGTACACAAATTATTTTACACATGTCCCTTCAAGTGATGGAGCCCATTTCCTCTCTTTTTGAATGTGGGTTGTGCTTCGTGACTTGATTCTAATGAATAGAATAAAGTGGAAAAGATAGTGTGCAACTTCAGAGGCTAATCACAAAAAGCACTGCAATGTTTTCCTCTCTTTTTGAGATGCTCATTCTGGGAAAGGCCAGTTGGCCTTTGGAGATGCCCATGTAGTGAGGAACTGAAGTGCCCTGCAGTCCAAGCCAAGAACAAAAGATGCCACCAAGAGATTAAAAAGACACCCCACAGAATGATAGAAAATACGTGAAAATCCTGTCTGATAAGAGTTTAATACTTAGAACATATAAAGGACTCCTGTAACTCAGTAACAATGAAACAAACAACCCAATTAGGAAGTGGGCAAAGGATGAGAATAGACATTTTTCCAAAAAAGACATACAAATGGCGAATAAACACACGAAAAGATGCTCCACATCATTAGTCATTAGGGAAATGCAAATCAAACTGACTTCAGTCCCTTTTAAGGTGGTATAATAATAATTTTTTTAAAACCAGAAAATAACAAGTGTTGGTGAGGATGTAGAGAAATTGGAACATTTGTGCATTGCTGATGGGGATGTAAAATGGTACAGCAGCTGCGGAAAATAGTCTGACAATTCTCCAAAAAGTTAAACAGAATTACCATATCCCCCAGCAATTCCACTTCTGGGTATATACCTAAAAGAATTGAAAATAGGGACTCAAACAGATATGGGTTTATCGGCAATTCTGCCCATTTTAAAGTACACCTGGTAAATTGTATTTTTCTTCTGACATGGTACATTTCATGGATATTTTAAATTTTATTAGAATAGAGAAGATATAATATTTTTATCAAGTATTAAATCTCTTCAATATCAACAGGGTTATGTTTTCTTTCTCATTCACATGTATTTGTAGAATTGTTATTTTGTGAAATTACAATTGACCCAGTCTGTTTGTTTTATAATTGGTCACTTTAAAGAATCTGCTTTTAGATTTCTTTATCATTTCTATGATTTCTTTTTTCCTTATGCATTACTTTATTAATTCCTTAGTCCAGCAGCCTTTTACATGTTTTTAATAATTTAAAAATTGTTAAGCAAAATGTTTTCTTCATTTATGTGAATTTTTTCCTGTCAAATAACAAAAAGGATTGAAAAATTCCTCTGAGGATAGTTTTGGCATCAGCACCCCAGAAATTTTTATGAGTAATATATGTTTCAGCATTCCTAATGAAGAAGCTAAATAATATAAGGCTTACCATTCTAGGCTGTTGAAGCTGACTGGCAATATTCTAATTCTAACCTCAACCTGCCATATGAATTTCGACAAATTAGTTAACCTGTCTGTCTCAGTTTTCTCTTCTATACAATGAGGAATATGCATGATATCCCATTCAAAGGGTATTTTAAAGACTAAGTAAACCAATTCATGTAAAGGACTTAGAAGAATGCTTGAGGCACATACACTCAGTGATCATTAGCGATTGTTATTCTCCAGGTAATCTGCAATGGCTGTTTTTAAATTTCTCTTTGATCAAGATCTAAGGTACTCTGTTTTCTAAAACTTTGAATTTTTAATGTATTATTTTCTCATTAATTCCTAGTTTTTGGTGTATTGTGATGAGAAAATATAGCCATTTTGATATCTTTTATGTGCAAATTTATTGAGGTATACTCTGTGGAGTTATATCAACTTTTATAAATGGTTTTTATAACTGTGATAAAGGTTTCAAAGTTGAACGCACAAGAATCAAAGCAGCTTATTCCTCAACATGTGATTTTTTTGTACACTTATTTGCCCAATCTGAAGTTTTCAACTATTATTATTTTGCTGATTTGTCTTTTTATTTATTTTAGAAAATCCTCTGACTTTGCGTAATGACAAGAATTGAAGAAAAATAATGCTCTCAATCCCTTCATCTAACCAGAGATTCTCACCCTATGGCTTACAGGCCAAATATGTTCTATAGCCCGTATTTGTAAATGAAGCTTTATCAAAATACAATCACACATTCATTTGTCTAGGGCTATTTTTCCACTGCAATGGCAGAACTAAGTAATTGCAATAGATATGGCATGGTCTGCAAAACTGAAAATTTTACTATCTGGCTCTTGACAAAAAATGTTGTCATCTCTTGCTCAAAACGATCTATGTTTCATTTGTCCAGGTTAACATCTACTCCTTAGTTATATGCTTAAGTTGCACTTATTTTCAGAAATTTAACAACATGATTTTATAGCCTATATATTCACTTATAATACCATGTATATTTTGTCACTCCCACCTCCATCTCAGGTGGTTCTGATTTTTCCAAACTCAATCAAACACACATATGTATATAGGATATCTCCTCCAAATTTGTCATTATTTTTCCAAATTGAGAACAAACTCTGTATGCTTCTTGGCAAATTATTTTTTTCTATTAACGTCACAACATGGTCACTCATTCAAATCCTAAACAGAGATCTAATTAAGTCTTCTTGATTGCTGCAAAATAGTTCATAGTAGATGTCTTATGATTTATTCAACCTACTGCTAATAGAAGGATGTCAGGATTGTTTGCTCTTTTTGCTTATATAAACAATATTGCAATAAAGAACCTATTGTAATACTCCTTTTCCTAGGAGTGGGATTAGTAGCTAAGAAGGTATCTATGCTTTCCTCGTTTGTGGATAGTTTTTTTTTTTTTTTGAAAGCTGCAGCAATTCACATCCCAACGAGCCACTATAAGAAGGTTCCTTTTCCTCAAATTCCTATTTACCTCTACTTCCCTCTTTTAAACTTTTATTAATGTGACAGTGAAAACATGAGCTATCGTTGCTTTAATTTGCATTTCCCCAAACCATAGTGAAGTTGAGCTTTTTTGCTTAAGTATTTATTTTAGCCATTTATTTAGGCCATTTTAATGTTTCCTTTTGTGAATTGACTGTGCATATTCTTTACTCATTTTATATCGGGTTGTCTATTGCTTATCTATTGTTGTGTGCCCTTAACTTTCTCTCAGTTTTACCTAATACAAATTTCCCTGCAGTCCATTTTCTATTAACATATGTCATATTTTTGCACACTAGAATTTTAATTCTCCCGTATGTCACTGTGTTGATACATAGATCTAATGGCCAATCTGGTTGAGAAGGTGACCATCCTCTTTCTCCCTGAGTGCTCCTTTCCTAGCCAGCCAGATGATCCAAGTTAACCCTGGCTAACTCCAAGATGCTGTGTGTTTGGTCAGAGAAGACGTCCTTTACAGTGGTGGGAGACAGTTCTTTAGCTAAGACTACATGTGTTACAGAGCTCTGCGTTTGAAACAGCTGAATGAGCTCTTCTATATATCAGTATTTGTTTGATGTATTTCAACATGTTAGTTAGCGCTCTCTTGTTCAAAATTTCTTGTCTTCAGGCCAGGCGCGGTGGCTCCCGCCTGTAATCCCAGCACTTTGGGAGGCCGAGGCAGGTGGATCACGAGGTCAAGAGATCGAGACCATCCTGGCCAATATGGTGAAACCGCGTCTCTACTACAAATACAAAAATTAGCTCGGCACGGTGGCGCACGCCTGTAGTCCCAGCTACTCAGCAGGCTGAGTCAAGATAATAGCTTGAACCCTAGGCGGAGGTTGCAGTGAACCGAGATGGTGCCACTGCA